TCATAACATGTCCTATTCAAAGTCGTAAGGTTTCTTCAAGAAATTCTATAGCCACCTAAAAAAGTAGACTACTTTGCAAAAAATAATATCACGCTGTACTAGTGATGCGATTTACAAAATATCGGATACCATACTTAGAAAATATTCATTGCTTAAAAAAAAAACAAACTGTTTCCATTTAATAACTTCCAATCGTTTCTCAACTCATTCACCTCATATGAACATACAGGTTAAGTTGTGCTCACCATCCTCACATACATATGTACACATAGGCTTCCGCACAGCCACAAGACTACGGCTGACTCGATATGTGCTGTGGAAAGTCAAGGCTTTTCAATGGTGTTCACTGTACACGGTGCCTGTGCATGCACGTAAGCGTCCTGTCATAACTGGGTCAATTGGCTTTTTCGGTTATTAGTCCGTATCGCTTCGTTACGTTACTCTGTGAAATGCCTTCACCTAATACTAAGTACTACCATAAGTACGAGTAAGAATCGTATTTAGGTGCAGCTGCACTCAACACACTTGCATTTTGAAAGCAAACATAAATGAGCTGCAGGCACACACATGCCATATTTTAGACTGTACAGTTAGTATAAAAGATTGTAAAGGGGTCACGCAGGCCCCAAAAGGGCTTGGAGCTCATGGAAGTTAATATTTTTGTTGGTAAAGGAAATTGATTAGAATTATGAACTATGTATGTATGTGCATAGATATGTGCGTATTACAAGAAATTCTGTGCAATAAAAAGTTTGCTTGTTCAATTCTTTGTTATACCGAATTTCTACTATGCTTTAAAATGCCCAAAACTTGGGCACTTCAAAAAATGTATTTAAAAAAAAAAAACTTTAAATATATTTTTACTAATTTTTTACCATTTATTTTTTAATGTTTGCATTTACCTTTGGCTGTGTAATTAATTACATTCGTAAATTCGCAGTACTCAAAATGCTTAATCAACTCTCAACGCCAGCCCCATGACTCTAGCCATTCACTCCGTGTTGCTCCATTAAGTTTTGACGCGCCAGCGTAAGCGTTGTAAACCCCCATTCGCCAGATGAGTGCAATTTGAATGCCCAAATGTGCTGATTTAGTCTTAAGTATGTATGTATGAAAATTTGTACGTGTTGCACGCAAATGAACGCCCACCCATTTAAATGATTTAATGATTTTTTCACTTCCATTTCGGTGCCAATGAGTCAGTCAGAGGGTTGTTGGTGCAAGTATTTTCATGTTGCTGCTGTGCACGAAATTTGCATGTCTCTCGCTATCGTAGAGGGTTGTTTTATTTTTCGAAAGAGCTTCTTAGTGCGCCCTAAATTCGCACATATGTATGCATGTGGTTTGTGCCCCCGATGTCTGTGAGAAAATTGTTGGGGTTAGTTTTAGAATTCTATGTAGAAGAGCAAATCTCACGAGTTGCTACTTTTTTCGACATACATATACGTCTTTTTGGTCGCAAATGGTGGCACACTTATCTTAGTCATGCATTATCTTCAGTTTCGCTTAAAGAACAAGATTCCATCGCGAAATTCTATTTAAATGAAATCTTAAAAAAGATATACTCGAAAAGGTAAAAATAACAACTCATGCTCATATAGCCGTTGTTGTGTATGTAACGTTTACTCGCACGCCTTAACTTAAATGTCATATAATTGGAAAGTAATTAAATATTGGTGTGGAAGATTTTTACACAGTATTCCTTACTTATTCATGTATATAACCAGGGACCATAACAGTTACAATTTATATTATAAGAATCGCTCTTTAGCAATTATTTTTTGACTTCTATAAAATTACTTCTTAAATAACGGTTACTTCTGATTTTTATTTTATAAATCCAAAATAACAGTTATTTTTAATTTGTATCTAAATAATCTGCAAATAACAGTTATATTTGATTTTTATATTGTATGTCTTATTTATAAAAGTCATCAATAAAAATCAGTCAGTGAATTCAATTTTTTAAATCATACTTATAAAAGTCATTTATATAAATAAAAGTCTTCAATAACTGTTATCTAAGACATATAATATAAAAATCAAAAATAATTGTTATTTTGTATTTATAATATTAATTTCAAAAATAATTGTTATTTTTTAATTTTGCATTAAAATCGCAAATAAAAATGTATTTCCAAATTTGAGTCTTGGTGAAAAAAGAAATCGATTGGTATGTATCACTTAGTTGTTGAACATTTTCTTCATAGTGAATTTTCCATGACAGTTTTCATCAATAACTGTTATGTTCGGTCCAAGTATATACCAAATATTATAAAGAATTTCGATTGTGCCAATAAAAATTGTAAATATGGAATTTCGAAGTATCTTAATAAAAATTTCAAGAATTACGCAATGGTGGTACACTCTTGAAACTTCACAGATAAGTTGTACTTAGTGCCAAGGTCTCTTGCCTCTAATATGAACATTCTAATTGAAAACTTGTCGGCCGCTGTGGTGTAGTGGTAAGCAGTGCGCGCTTTCACTCATCAGCACCTGGGTTCAAGCCCTGGTCAAAGCAACATCGAAAAAAAAAATATAGAAAAAGGTTTTTTCTTCACAGCGGTCGTCCCTCGGCAGGCAACGGCAAACCTCCGAGTGTATTTCTGCCATGAAAAATAGCTTCTCACAAAAATACAATCGCCGTTCGGAGTCGGCGTAAAACTGTAGGTCCCTCCGCCTTGTGTGACAACATCAAGGCGCACGCCACAAGTCGGAGGAGAAGCTCGGCCAAACACTAACATATGTGTAAGCGCCAATCTATTATTATTATTATTAATTGAAAACTTTTCGAAGTTATTGGGCCGTAGGAATAAAAATAAGCAATTGATTTTTCTTAAAATTTCAGGCCTTTTACTCGATTTATTCAAACAAAAGTGAAGTAACAGGTATGAAATTTTAAGAAAAAGCAATTGCTGAGTTTTAATTCATACGGGCCATTGAAAACAACAATTATGATTTTTTCGAGTGACAAAAAGAAAATGGTAATTTCGGTACTTTTTCGCCTAAATAAACCTCTCAAGGCTAAAAGGTCCTCGTTCGTTTCCTGGCCCCATCAGCATTGGCGTTTTTTTCGAATAGTTGTCGTCCCTCGGCATACAATGGCAATTTGTGTGATGAAAAGCTTCTCATAAAAACCATTCGCCGTAAAACTGTGTTTGCGATAAGAGCAAGAAGACGCAATCCATAAAATGGATCAGAAGCTCCGCCAAACACATGGAAAAATAGTTTCGTTTATTAAAACTGCTCCCACAAGGCTAGCCAAGTCGTTTTAAATTTTTGGCTTAGCCTTAAAATTTTGCACTGATATTTAATGCTCCTACAGGGAAGTATTCAATCACTCTGCCAGTGTGTCGACGTGTTTCATATACTATTGCATACTTTGCGGCGCATTTACGGTACTTAATTGAAAGGATTATACGATACTATGTTCACGTTGAAATTTTAACTCGAGTTTAACGTTTTGAGTTTATGAACAATTTTCAAGTGGGGTGTTTAATAAACTCAGAGTTTAATTTGACATTTGTTTGTTTACTTTTTCTTATTCACATTTAGCCGGTTTCCGTTTCGCCATCAAGAAATAAAAAATGTAGGCAAATATAATTTTTCATGCTGATTTCAACCATACCAAGATTGTTTGGCGCAAATAAAAACTAAAGCCAATAAAGGAGGTTAAAGCTTAACTTTTATATTTTCTATAATTATAATATCTCGGAAACTATTTGACCGATCACAAACGTATTGATGCTAGTTTAAAGATAATTTAAATACCTTTTTCGCTACTTATACATTATAATCTTGTTGAAAAGAAACGCCATTTAAAAAAAAAAAATATTTAAAAAATATATTTAAAAAGTTATGTACACCAAGTGAAGGACCCCCTAATTACCTTTATTTTGGCGTCATTAGTTTTTTAATTGGTTATGTTGTTCAGAAGATATTAATAGATATTTAAAAAAAATTAAAAAAATTTACTTTAACCATTGATATTTTCTTTTTATTTTTTACTTCCGCCAGATAATTTTAGTAGGGTTGACATCAGAACATTTTTGGTTTTTGCATAGCTAGATTGTTGATATTCTACACTTATGTACACGGAACGACGTCGAACTATTTCTGATTAAATCCTGCAGTACGGGAACAGACTAACTGTCGGCAAGTTGGTTGCAGGTTTGGCTTATCAAAGACACAAACAAAATGCGGTAAAAAAAGGATTGCATGCATTCGCTTTAACTCCAAATAAAAGTGGTGTTTAAGGCGAGTTAAGCGAAAATTATTTGTATCGCAAACTCCGAGTTTATGAGTAGTGTTTAACGTTTAACTTCCAAATGGCCCATAAACTCAAGTTAAAGGCTCAACGTGAACATAGTATAAAAGTGTTATGAGTCGTTGAAAACATATATTGACCTTAATTACCTTCTTACGGCTTTGTTTAAAACCCAAAGCCATGTATAATAAGCAAGAGCAAATTTTATCTATAAAGTGTCATTTTCATAAATATTTCCGATTTACAAAGCAGTTATTAAAATCCTCTTTATTTTTTTATAAAATTTCGGCGTAAGTGTTTATTTTTATTTAATTCAAATCATCAGATGGCTTTATTGTTTCCGGTTCCCGCCTAAATAAAGCAAAATAATACAATTTGAAACTCCCCTCGCATAATACTCTGTTTCAATCTATGTACACCTCAGCTCAACATAGCAACAACACAGCTCCCTCCCTATTCAAGTAGCGTCATGTCGCACAACTCAGATTGCCAGAGGCGGCTGTGAGTCAGCGGCCGCACTTCGCTGTACATTTTAATTGAAAATAGGATCGCTTAAGCTGAGGGTTTAATAACGAATTCGTTGCCCAGTCAATGGCCATTAACTCACCTCAGTTATGTCTCTATTTTTAATTGGTTTATACTATGTATACGTATGCACATATATTTTCTATGACTTAACTAATTAAATTTCTTTATTTGCTCAAACCTGCTTTTTCTATCTTTTTACTTGCAGTTGTGGAACTTTGATGGTCATCCCCTACAACGACAACTCATGAAAAACTCCAAATAACAACAACAACACGATTGCTTTGAATTGTCGCGGCGCAAAAAAATAAAGAAAAAAAAACAGTTTAAAATAACAATTCCAACAGTAGCAGCCAACTAAAGATAAAAAAGTATTAGAAAACTTAAAAGAAAAACTCGCTAGTTAAACAAACAAAGCAAAAAACAACAACAAATCCCAAAACAGTGCAGCAAACACGCTGTGTACAATGTTTCCAAGCTCTTAGTGTTTGAAAAAAAGAAACAAAGAGACGTTTTTCCTATTTTAATTTAACTTTTACACAGAATACGCAAATCCTTACAAACCAAAAAAAAAAAAAGCATTTTCCAGTGTGTATTAAGTTTGTGTTTTATGTATTTTAATCGCCGCATTTGGTGGATGTCTTTGCTGCCGATGTAATTTCCCAAAGCAGTGCGAGTAGCGGCACTCCTCTACGTAGTTTGGTATTTTTCTCGTCCAATAGGAGGTACATTTTTCGAGCGTACATTGGTTAAAACTGTATGACATTACTTGGGCCTAGCGCCCCTGGTATGGCCTTTATGATGAAAAAGAAAAAGTATAAGTTCAATGTTGAGGTACAATTACAAGAGCTTTCCGAGGTGGCGCTGGTGAATGAGGTGCTGTTCGCGAAAATACGTCTGCTGGATGGTGGTTCGTTTCAGGAGTACAGCAGTAGGTGAGTAACTATAGTTTTAAGGTACCGAAGGGCTTAAGAATTTGAAATATTTTCATGAAATTTTCAATGATTCATTAAAAAATGTTTTTTTTTTTATTTTTTTTTGGTGGTCATAAAAATATGGAATTAGTATTTAAAGGGATCTTAGCAAATTTTCATCCAAATATTGCACTTTTTATTTACACTCTTTAGAAAAAATTTGAGTGCGCAGTTTTTTAGCCCATTCAATTTTAGTCTAACAAAGTGTAAGTCTGAAGTAGCTAGGACTTACTATTGATTTGTAGCAATTTTTTTTGTTGAAGGTGTCGCTCATTTTCTCCATATAAAATAATGGTCAATGATGGGCATTACTCGATCTTATTTACGTGAAAAACTTTTGGCCGGGCTGTAATTTTCATAACTCACTCTGAGAGCAGTGTCATCTCCGCAGTTTCATGTGTAAAATGATCCGCTGAATCCAAATATGATCTACGACGATCCCCCTTTCAACACTTTATTTGTCACTGGCCCTTAACTAATTCTAAGTCTTAATCACCTCGCGAACTCGTTCAGTCTTATTGTTTTGCCTATGCCACTACTTTTTAAAATTTTCTTTATTTTCCACAGAGAGGAGGTACGCGATCATCGTGTAGCATGGAATCGCAGCTTCGAATTTCCCTGCAAAATGTCCGCCAATGCGTCCACGGGCGTACTGGATCCCTGCTACTTGCGTATCTCCATACGCAAGGAGATGAAGGGTGGACGTAGTTATTTTAAGTTAGGTTTTATCGATATAAATCTTGCCGAATTCGCCGGTGCTGGACTAACGTCGCGACGCTTTCTGCTCGAAGGATACGATTCGCGCCATCGTCTAGACAATTCCATGCTGCTGGTGTCCATCAAAATGCACATGCTCAGCGGTGATATACTCTTCAAGGCGTAAGTATACACTGTGACTCTATCAAAATTTAAATTTAATTATCTTTCCTAAACTCTACTTTCAGCCCCACGCCAAATTTGAAGAGTAAACAAAAACCCTCTACTGACGATTTGTCTACAGCATCTACAGGCGTCGGACTGCAAACGCCCACTGCAACAGCTTTGTCCAGCATTGGCAGCGGTGTGGGTAGTGGCGCGTCCAGCGTCAGTGGCGGCAGTCAGGGCATACCTGTTGGTGGCGGTAGTGGCGCTACGCTAGGCAGCGGACTCAATAGCGCGACCAGCACGCGACCTGTATCCACTGTGCGGGATGATGGTAAACAAGCGCATCAAATATCTTTTTATTCAAAAGCATTTCCTTTTTAAATGTAATATTCTCTTTGCCACAGATTTGGATCCCCAAGTAGTCATCGCATCAATTGTGACGGACTCTGGCTTGTCGGAATCCTCTGAATCGGCCACCACACTCACCACAGAAGCGTTACTGCTGCAGCAGCAACAACAGCAGCAGCAACAACAATTTATCACCTATCCACCGCAAAATTCGTTGGGCTCAACGACAACAACCACCGTCGTAACGCTAACGAATGCACAACAAATGCCGCCGTACGTGGGTATTGGCGGCAATGGTGGCAGTAGCGGCGGCGGTGGCGGCGGCGGTGGTGGTAGTGGTGCCGGTGGCGGTGGCGGTGCAGCTGGTAGCAGCGCAGGGGGTGTACTGGGTATTGTGGGTAGCAGTAATTGTGGTACGACCAGCGCTAATGTGATGGGAAGCGTTGGTGGTGGGGGCCTGGGAGGCACTACTACTGGAACATCAGCGATTATGGAAATGGGCCACTCGCGTAATTCCAGCAACACTAGTCAAGTGAGTGCGGGTATTTCAATGCACAACAACAATTTATTAATATTCTACTCTTTCTGCTTGCCGAGCGCAGATGTCGAAGGGTTCGGGCTACAGCAGTTTTTCGCACAGTCAACATTCGAGGCAAAGCTCTGAGGGCGATTCAGGGCATGCAAGGTAAGCGTTTTTGTTGCATTGTTGCACCGATGTTATGTATTCAATATTTATTACTTATCTTTTACGTATTGTATTTTTGTAATTACCAGATTTTTTAAGATTATTTTTATGTACTAATTTGCCATCAAACTAATTCGAGTACCAAAGTGAAAACTAAAAAACAAAAACTTTTATTTGATGTATTGTAAATTTTTTGTATTTTATACATACCTACATAGAAACACTCTTTTGTTCAACATTTTTTTTTTTTTTTTTTTTTATACAACGCCTACTTTAACAAACCAACAATAAGCAACACTAACCAAAACAAATTAACAACAGTAACAAGTGGCGCCAGAAAGCTACAACTTTAACCCCGCTAATCCACTTAATAAAACACTTAGTCACTAAAAAAAATAACAGCAAAAAATCGCAACAGCAATAACAACAGATTAACACCAAACTCTGAATTAGTATTTCAAATCCTCTAAATAACTATTTTACAATAGCTTTTTACATATTTTTATAAATTTTTTCGTAAGCCTTTTGGGTGAGATCGGCGCATCCTTTGGGATAAGGTCGCTTGAAACTGCGACCTATACACTTAACTTTTATCATTTTCAAATTGTTTTGTTTTTATTTACTCATTCAAATGCTGATTAGTCTGCATACTATATTTTTTTTCTATTAAAATTCATACACATTCTAATAAAAATGCTAGTTCTAACTTTCCCCTTTTTTTCATTTTTTTTCGTTCACTATTAGCTAATTAGATTACTTGTTATGACTTCTGAAGGAGGTAGCATTTAATGCTATTCGATTGTAGTAGGTCTTTTACTATTTTCATTACGGTATTTTCGCACGTTCCATACACTCTACAAGTAACTTAACATTGAGAGAATGACAATGAGAAGATTGAATTATTATACAATATCTCCTAGTTAATTGACCTATACCAGTCAGTCAAGAAAGACAATTTTCTATTGAGAAATCCCCAGTTGAACGGAAGATACTGTATACATTTTTTGTGTGAAATAGCGGCCTTAAAAATCGTTGGCTCACATACTGAAATCCTTTTAATAATTGTTAGGCTTTTTTTCTAGAATTTAATAAATAAATTTAAAATTTAAAGTTCACCCTATTCTCACTGAAAAATTTAGCTCGTCAAATAGGCAGGCAAAATTAATGTAAACACGCAATTTGTCTCACAAAGAAATGGCAACCGCACAAAACATTATTCAATGTTAAGTTGAAGGCCAGTATGCGACAGTTTGACGTCCTCTCAAAGATGACGGCATAACTAAATGTAATGGTATATTTGTATGTGCAAATAAATAGTAGGTAGTATGTATATACATACATATTTGTATGGATTTAGGCTGATTTTGTAGCGTGAGCAATTTGGTTTGCTATTCCCTTAAAAAACTAATAACTTTGTTTTTTTTTTTAAGTAACTTTTTGTTATCTCGAAGTGCAAAAGGTTTAAATTTTGGTATTTCAAAACCAGTTGAAAATCGCCAACATTCAGGCCTTACACGAACCACTAGAAAAATTGCACTTTCGAAATTCAGAACATCAAAACTTAAAGTGCAATACTTAGGCGTTTTGAAAGGTATCGAAAATATTATGCAGTTAAGAAAATCTTAACAAAAGTTCCTAAAAAAATTGGTAGCTTTGAGCGAAACGAATATAATTAAAACTTTTGATAAAATACATTTTCGAGTATTAGCAGTTTTAAATTCGACAGTTTTAAATTCGAAATTTAGATCTTAAAGAAAAGTTAATAGAACGTTAATTTTCGAAACTTCAATATTTCAAAACAGTACAAGTTTCGAAATATTTTTGGGTTTTGAACGCAACAAAAAAATAAATTTTGTGGGAACGAAACTAATTGAAACTAAAAAAAGTATTTTTAAAACTTGCAATTTCGAAATTTCCTATTTTGAAGCTAGAATTTTCGATATATTTAGGTGTTTTGAAGGATATTGAAAACAAATTTTGATTCAAAAAAAAAAAAAAACTCATTTTCGAAATTCGAAACTTCGAAATTTGAAATTCGAAGTTCGAAATTTCTTGGCATTTTTGAGCCCTCTCGAGAAACTAAAAAACTAATAATTCTAAAAACACACACTACATTTAAAGTTTGCTGGGATCTTCTTTCTTATTCGCTCGCGTGCAGCGTTAGTCACATACAAAAGTGCAAGTGCACACACAAAATTGGCTGCCAGTCAAATTTGGTTCCTCAAATATTATAACGTATATAAACTGTATGTATATGTATTCATATTCATACATTCATATATGCAAATATTTTATTTGCATTTATCCTTTCCTATTTCGCAGTGAATTCTTTTACCTCATTCCTTCGTATTCTTGTTGTTGCATTTGAAAATTTCATTTAGCAGGTTTTATTTTTGGCTAATGGGTTTTTTGGGCATCTACTACGATGAGCTCATCGTTACGCAGACGCAATTTATTTGCTTCGGAGGTTAGTTATAATTATTCGACTTCGAATTGGAGTAGGAACCTATTCTGTTTCAAGTAGACGCATTAAAGCATTCCCGAAACCGCAGCCAAAACTTTTTTTAAATGAATTGTAAATATATTTTTACTTCCGCCTGACTACTGAGTGGTTGTTTTAAAGTACTCTACTGTTTAATTAAGGCACTCTCAGTGGAGGCTACAGTTGCCGCTCATAAAAATTTGTTGTTGCTGATATCGTCATCACTCTCCACGCTTTTTATTTCTTTCTATTGCTCTCACGCGTGTTTATAATGCTTAAATCTTGTCTAAATTAATTTAAATGCAAATTCATCTGTAGTTTGCGGAATTTGGTCATAATAAAATATATAGAAAATCTTAAATTTTCGCTAATTTCATTGCAGCTATGGGTTTATGCAAAATTTGCTAAAAAAATTATTCATTAGCGACTCTTTTGTAATCCAAAACATTTGGCTATATAGGTATATTATGTAAATTATATTTATTTATCGAATTTGTTCATTAAAATACTTTATAGTAATATTTTTTTATAATTATTTTATTTTATTTAGTTCACTATTGGCTCTTAGCTCAGTATTTCTAGTTTATTATTTTTCTCAATTTGCTATTTTGCGCTAATTACACCTTTTCCGTTTTTTGTATTCTATTTTTGTGTTTTTTATTTCTTTTGTAAAATGTAAAAACTGTAAATCGAAAAATTGTTGAAATGTCATGGGCACCACCACCACCAACACTGAACTAAATTATCATAATGTTGTTGGTATTCCGGTTGTTGTTGGTTCATCAACACCGCAACCACTACGAACAAACGTAATGTAATATACCGTAATGTACTGTACTGTACCGTACTGTAATGTAATGTAATTTGCGAAATAATAACTAAATATGCAAATACGCACCATTCCACCAATTAAAAACAAACAAAAAAAAAACAAAACCGATGTCGAACGATCGTGCCGCATACTTGTTCGTCGCACCTCGTTCTCTCTTCCTCTCTCCCATGCACTCTCACGATCAACAGCAGATTCAGCAAATCAGTTTCTCTCCTTAATAGACTCAATCAGAAAACCGCCAACGCTATGAAGCTGAATATACCATCGTTGAATCATCAACCGCCGGCGGATACGATCAGCGAGTATGACGGCGAGGATCTGCTTTTCCAGACACCCAATTCTACCATACGCGATGAGGAGTTTCGTACGCCACTTAACGAGATGCCCGTAACCTCATCCGCTTGCTCTCTATCCATCTACGGCGATAACTTTGTGTTGAACGCACCTTCGCCGACGTATCGCAGCGTCGCCAGCAACAGCAACAGCCGTAGTGGCTCGCGCACCTCTCAGATCTACGAAAGTGGCAGCGGCAGCGGTAGTGGCGGTGGCAGTGGTAGCGGCAGCGGTGAATCAGGTTCGGAGGAAACCGCCGACGACTCTGGCTTGGATGAGAATTTCCATACGCCGCGCGTAGCCAAAATCAAATCGATGGAAAATCTCTCCATTATCGAAATGGAGTTCCACCGTGCATCACAGGAATTGGATCGTAATTCACCGCGTCGCCTTAAGTTGTTGGCTGAGCGTGCACAAATACCAAAAATTAAATCGCTTAGCAATTTATGCCTAGATGATTACAGCGAGCAACAGGTGCGCGAAGAGTTGCTGCGCATGCGCGAGCGCTCGCTGGAGGAAAAACATCGCTTCAATTTGCAGCAGCGCAAGAACTCTACCTCGTCGACTAGTTCGGGCAAGTTGTTTATGAAGAACAAAGTGGGCAATGCCAAATTCATTGGCAACGACGATAGTCCACTGCCGCAGCAGCCGCACAGTCAACAGCCGCCTTCATTCATGCCACGTGTGCCACACTATCCGATACAGAAGATGCGCTCTATGGGCACCATACCGGATGTGGTGACGGAGCGCGTCGAACCCGATCCCTTTCTTACGCCGACTTCGGGTCGCAAGCCGAATTTCCCGCTGGTCACACAGTCGGCAGAGAAGCCTTCGCCGCCTTCATTTGTTGCGCGTTTGCTTAACTATGACGTCGTTGATTCACCGTCATCCTTGGCTGGCACATCGAATAGCCACAATCCACAGCTACAACAACATCACACCCATGGCTCGCTAACGGAGCTCTATTCGCATGATCGTGTCAGCACATTGTTGTCCAATGAACAGAGCGCTGCTGGCATGTCCTTCATGTCGCGCACACCGTTCGAGCGAGCCTACCGACGCACCATGTTGAAGAGTTCGACGCCACTGCGACAAACGCTGGGCTACGTGCAGTACACAACGCTGGAGGAGCAGGGAATACAGCTGCGCCCGGATGGACATCAACAACAACAACAACAACCTTATGCTATGGGCCAGCAGGAGGCGCTCTTAGTGCGTCCACACTCGACGAACACCGCCTACGAGTTAATGAGGTTTGTAGAAGTGTTCACAGTTTAAAGAATAACAAAAAGATATCAGCTATCATGATTTCAATGCGTCACGGATTTCAACTATACATTCACAAATAGTATGAACGTTTGCATTAGGTCGTATTGTATTCCAAACAAATTTTTTTTTAATTGTATCAAGTCAGAGTCACCAATTAACATTTGTCGTTCTTCTGTCATCAATACACTTTGGCGAAAGGGTTTCCGCACATAAAATAGTTAACAAAAAAAAAAATAATTCGCCGCGAATGCTTTATTTTATTTTATTTTGAACTAAGCTTCTGCGTTATGTCCTCACCATCATCCGACATCATTGGGGATAATTGCTTTTTTCTAATTGTTGGCTATACTTAGTTGATGGGTTTTCAATAAAAATAATTACCGCCAAAGAGAAGTCTATCGGTCTGTTAAATGAATATGAATGGATGAAAATTTATTGATATCGAAGACGTGTTTCTATCAAAGCCCTTGAACAAAAACCCATAAATAAAGCTCATCGAACAAATGCATTCATCACTCGAGTAGTGACAAATTCATAGCACAAAAAGTGATCCATTAAATTCGATATCATCAGACACCAGATATCACTACAAATAAGCTTAACGTTGTAATTGTTAGCCATAGCATTTTTTGTCGCCATCCACTTCCACCATTTATATACCTACAAACTTCGTATAATACCCTATTTAGGGTGTTGGCACATCAATATCAATCCCAAATCGAGATGAGAGGTTTTTAATTAAGGCCACCTAATCAGTGCCTTCAGCTTATTTGGCATTAATCAGTTTGCATTTGCTTAAGTCCATAAAATTAAACTTTAGATTTATGACTTGTTAACTGACCCGTGGGTTTGTTTGTTATTATTATAGTTTTTTTTTTTTTAATTTAATTTCTCATCTTTATGAGGATTTATGTATGTGTGTACGTTTATTTGTTTACTTTTTTAAGTTTAGTTGCATTCGGTTGCGTTCTCACTTTACGTTTCTTAATTACAATTTAAAAATTTGCATTTCCATTCGCTTTAACTGGTTTTGGCTTAAGTTCATTATTACTAATTATTGCATCCTCTGTTACAAACAGACATCATATATTATATTTGATATGCATATATATATTTTGTTTAATTAATTTTTATGTTGGGTTCTTTAGCGACTCTTGGTGGCTTAGTTTATTTCTTTGCTGATTTTTTGAAAAGCAAATTATTTAAAAGAGATGGAAAAATTGAAATTTTCCAAGTGGACGTAGATAGTTTGTTATTCCTTTATAGGTCAAACAAAATGTTTTTTCACTCATAAGATACTGTAAATCGTTATTTCACGATTTTCATTTTATTTATTTATTTTTTAACCGACTTCAGAAAAAGGAGCAGGTTATCAATTCGGAATATATATATATTTTTTTTAAATATATCGTCTTTATTTCTGAATTTTTACGATCAAAAAATATAGTTATTTTCTAACTTTTGTAAATAACTTTCAGGCAACATATTTAAACCTAATTCTTTGGGTTTTCGTACAATTTTTCGCGACTTTCTGGAGTATTTTTTTTGTTGAGATTTTTGTGGCTTCCCCGTTTTGTTTTGTACTATTCGGCTTTTTGAGTGTTCGGGTTTTATTCAGAAAGCTTAAAGGTTTGATGAAAAACGTTCGAGATATTTCTGTTCGAAGTTGTTTGGGACTGCTGGATATTTTTCGGGCTCTTCCTGATTCCTAGTGTTTTGTTTGGGCCTTTTCGAGCTTTTTCGAGACTTTTCCGTAACCTTATACATTTTTTTTAGCCTTTTAAAATCTTTTGGAATTGCTGGCATTTTTTTGTACTTACTTGGTTCGTTCATGATATTTTAGGGACTATGCCGGATTTTTTAAAACATTTCGGAATTTTTCGTTTACTTTCGGGACTTTTATGAGATGCTTCGAAAACTTTTCAGGACTTTCATGGAGTTTTTTTTTTTTTGATGATATTGAAATAAATTGAAATTGAAATTGAAATAAATTGATGTCCAAAGGTGGCGGTTCACTATATTGTTTACTTTTCAATATAAAATGGATTTTTAACACCCTCTCTGCGCGGAGCAAAATTGAATGCACGAACTCTCGCCTTCCACTCTCGAAGTATTGAAGCAAGCACAAAAAGGTGTTTCCTAGTTAAGGCACAGCTTTTACAATAATTGGCTCTAGAGAAATTTCAACCAAGGTATTTATCCAGATTGGTGTGGATGTGGTAGGCGTCATTTTTATTATTTTTTTTTTTTTTGTAGGATAGGTTTCATCAGGTACGTAACTTGAGAATGGAAATCGTGACGTGGTTTGCGCGCCGGTTGCGTGGGGTACGCGGGCGCGTGCGCGGCGCGCGAGTTGTGGCGCGCTGAGGCGGGCCGCCGCGAAGCTAAACAAATTTAATGTTTGAAAGGGAAATAATGTCAATGGATTTTATTTCGTTTTTAAAAAGGTAATACTGTCTGCGAAATAAAGTCAATTGACCTTATTTCCGTTGATCTTATTACCTGTCACCGAAATTTTTACTAAATAACAAGCGTCATCTACCGCGTAATTCTGCAACGTTTGCTAAAAAAATTCGTTATTTTTTAGTTGTAACTGTTTTTCAGTAAAGGAGCCGTATGTATGCACTTGCCAACAATTGCCACCTACATATGTACGTATGTATCTACATATGTACCTACATTCACATGTCAACACTGCTCTTGCAATAGACTCCCCTTCGATGACACTGACAGGGACAACCATGACAACTGGGTGAGCCATACGTATGGAGTATGAATGTATGTATGTACTACAAGTACATATATCCTCCAATCGTCGTGCCACCTTGAAAGTTGGACACTTCATTTCCAATGTTTGTATGTATGTATGTATGTAGCATTGGCACTACTGTTATTCTAACCTTAAATGCCGTTATGTGTCAACAATTGCAAGGCGACAGTAGAAGGCTGTCCTGCCTGCCTTTTTTTCTAATATTTTTGTTTTTTGAACCTTTTGGTGGGCGCTCGTTTCCGACTGCATATGAGGTGGAGGTGATTCAGAAAACGGTAATAACAAAACAATACATTTGTTGCACTTACTTTAATAAATAAACAAAAAAAAAAAAAAAACTTAACACTTATGTACACTAAAATATGTACATATGAGCGATACAAAAGTGGAGCAAGGATATGTGTTTTTACAACAAGCCAATATAGAATAATGTCAAATGCATTGTGTAGCTGACTCTCTAATTTTATTTTTTCTATTTTCCCATCATTTTTTTCGCTGACATTTAGGTGTACTTGCACTTGCACTGCCGTCATACATTCACCCGTGCAATCGGCTTGGTCGTCTGCTGTCAGGCGCAAATTGTCCCTGCACCGCAGTCATTGTTAGTGCGGTTACAACAAAGGCACAAACACGCATACATATTTGTACAATCTTGCTTAGTTGCATTGTATTAGGTCAATGATTTTATGGCCGCAAGGCAAATGACAGCTACTGCCCTCCTTACAAAAACACGCACCCATACGTCCAACTCACAGAGCTGACAAGGGTGTCTATACATACATACGCAGCAATGTGTTGGCTCATTTATTCCCATCGAGAAAAATTTAGACATTCAGTGGTAATATTTTTTCTAAGTAGTAAAAGTTGCTGATCTATTTTGTTTTTAATTTTTCCGCGACAGTTTTTTTTTTTGTTATAGTAACAGTCTGCCTCAAACGCTCCAGCTCTGAAAGTATTAAACTCGAGGGCCTCCTCGGCGATGGACAGACCATGTGGAGAAGGACTTAGCATTTCCGATAGGCGTCAGTTGGCACAAAAAAAGACTAAGACTTGTATCTTTGTACTGGGCCAAAATCGCTTAGGCGGATACAGCGCTAAACAAGAAGAAGAACTAAATTTGAGAAGGAAGCGATATTATTTTATTTAGTATCTCTCGAAAAAATCGTTATTGCTGCAAAAGCAGGTTTGTAGAACACAAAGTAACCCCTGTCTCTCGTCAGGATTGAATCTCGCAAGTATAATAATCAGGGTGTTGGATTATTTGCCTTTTTTCTAAAACCGGTTTCCGATTTTAAAAGTAAGAAGAATCCGGCTAAAGCGGTTTTACTTCACCTAGTTTTCATGCAGTGTAAATGCTTGTGTTGTTATGAAGTCACCACCAAAAATTACAATAAAACCATTAACAGTAAATATAGCTGTTTTTTAGATCAAAAGTAAATTCACGTTTGATTTTATTTTACGTGTTTTTTTTTTTTTTATTTGAGTAGTGCTCTTGCCGCCGTGGCCTAACTGGACACTCAGGAGGCCCATGGTTCAATTTCTGGTCTCAGCAAAAAAAGTTTTTTTTTTTAATAGCGGTCGCCCCTCGGCAGCCAACGGCAAACCTCCGAGTGTACTTCTGCCGTAATAAAGCTTCTTCGGAGGTGGATTAAAAGTGTAGATCTCTCCATTTGTGTCACAACATCAAGCAGCTGAATCCGAATGGGAGGAGAAGATCGGCCAAACAAGTAGAAAATGTTGTATGTGCCAAACATTTATTTATTGAGTTCAAACATGATATCGAGGGCTTATATTCAATACCCTCTATCTGCAAAAACTCAATTTTTCAGGAGAGCAAAAAAACTGTTTTGGCAGCTGTTTTTTAAAAGTGTTAATAATTTTAAGTACACACGCATGTCTTAAATATTCACGCAATATACTAAAACTAGTTTTTTACTTTTAATTCATTTAATTTTAGTTTAAAGATCAGATAGAGGTTATTGCAATTCGAATTATAACTATTTATATAGAAAAATTTGCTGATAGAGGGTTTTGCAGAATAATGAAAATGTCAGTTCTTTAGACGTAAATACTATGTTAAACTAAGATTTTAATGCGTTTAATGTGTTTTTGTGTCAAAAGAGTATTTCACGTGATTTCGAAATTATATGAGAATTATTAGCACTGTTAAAAGAGGCTTCGCTGGCTGGTTTACTGTCCGTTCAGATGAGGAAA